CCAGAGAGCTGGCTGGGTACTTCCCAAATGAACAGAAGTGGTCAGATCTTGGGACAGAGGCAATAGACTATAGTTAGTTATACCTCCTAGGTATATCACTGAAAAGAAGATAACTTAAAGAGCTCTCCATACTAGCAACAAAGACTTTCACTATAAGTGACCACAAACCTAAGCACAAAACAAACAAACAAAAACACACATACAAAAAAACAATAGAAATATGGGAAGACAGGGAAACAAAATGCCTCCCAAAAGTCCCAATTCTTCCGAAGTTGATCCATGGGAGCATCGAGGGGGAGAAAAGCAAAAGCCATAAAGCTGAATTATTCAAAAAGATATAGAGGAAATTAAGAAACAGATCAATAAGGTGCTCAGCAGGCTCACAGAGGTACAACTAAACAGATAAAGGGTATAATAAACAAAACAATGAGGAAGTTTACAGAAGACACTAATAAAAGGCTAGCTGAGCTAAACATGATACATAACATGAATGACCAGTTTAGCAAAGAATCAGAGTCCATGAAAAGGTTTTAAACAGAAAACCAGGAGATTAAAAATTATATTTAAAGTCTGGGCAGCAGAAACAACCAGTCTCAGGCCAGTGTCAGAACCAGGTGACAGGGATGCCTCCAAAGACCAGGTGCTCAGAAATACCTTAGAACCAACCAGAAGACATGAAAAATGGGTTCAACAGCTATTAGATGACACAGAGAAGACTAAGATTAACTAGAATATGAGAAATATCAGAAGACAGCACAAAGTGCATAAAATGCCTGTTTAAACAAGTAAAAGAAAATTTTCCAAATATATAGAGTTAAACATACAGATAAATGAGCCATATAAAACCCCAAATAGCCATGATCAAGAGAGAACCTCTCCACGTCACAGCATTATCAAAATCTTAAATGTAAATAAAGAGCAAAATAAAGGTTAGATACTAGGAAACAGCAAGAGGGCACTAAGAGATGGAGGAGGGGAAGGGGATTAAGAAAAAGAATTAATGGGGGCCGGGGATTTAGCTCAGTGGCAGCGTGCCTGCCTCGCAAGCGCAAGGTCCTAATTCTGATCCCTGGTACCAAAAAAAAAAAAAGATTTAAGATGGGTTATGTATATGTACCAACTCCCCACCAGGAATGTGATCATTATGTACTACAAATATACTGACTGATTAAAAAAGTTACTTCCTTGTAAGGTGAAGGAGAGAGAATGAGCAGTAACTCAGTGGTTAAATAAATAAATAAGCAAGCAACTAGGGTATAGCTCAGTGACAGAGATGTGCTTAGCACGCACAGGGCCCTGGGTTCAGTCCTCAGGACAAAACCCAAAAAGCAGTGACTGAGCCCACAGGGCACAGAGTAGCTCTTCAAAGGCATGAATGCTACCTTAAACAGTGTGCCTGCCTGGCCCACGGATCCCTGCTGATGCCGCCTGCCAAGCTCTTCAAGCATACCTTCCTATGCTGACTTTCTTCATCACTGGGCTTCATCCTGAGTATCCCTTCTCTTATCCATAAGGCAAATTCCCAAGTCTCTGTTGAGACTTGAAAGTTTCACATATATACTTAAGTTCTGAGAGTTGCACATGACTCACAACATCCCTAATGAGAGCCTTGACTAGGAACAAGAGACTTTATTATAGTTTAAATTACAGCCAGGGGGGCCGGGGATTTAGCTCAGTGGTTTCATTGCCTGCTGCGCAAGCGCAAGGACCCGAGTTCAATCCCCAGTACCAAAAAACAAACAAAACATACATACATACATACATACATACATACATACATACATAAATTACAGCCAGGGGAAAAAGTTTCCTCACTTCCATAGCAGGAGCCACAATTCCTGAGTTTCTCCATGAACCCTCATCACTACACATACACCCTGAATGGCTCACATTTACTGAGCATCACCCCTAAATTTACCTTGATTATCTCATTTTTTCTTCACAACTACTCTCTGAGGTAAAACTATTCCTATTTGTATTTTAGAGGAGGGAGACTGAGGCTTGATTATGTGGTAAGTAAAATCAGTGGGCACTGACCTGGTAGAACCAGTGTGTAAATCCAGGCCACCTGTCCCAGAGGCTGTGCTTTTAACCACCTTCTCCTCTATCTCCAAGCAGAAAACAAGCTTCTCTCAGCCCCAAACTTTTTTTTTTTTCAATTTACATCTAAACTATTCCCCACAGTTTTGCAGGTTTCTGAAGCACTTTTTTTTTGGTACTGGGGATCGAACTCAGGACCTTGCACTTGAGAGGCAGGCACCAGAACCACTGAGCTAAATTCCCCAGCCCTTGCAGGTTTTTAATATGCAGGGAGGAGACCATCGACATACTGTCTTGGAATAGAAAGGACCCTGTTATTTATACTAGGATCCTCAGGACACTGTACAGTGCTATGCACAGGACACCTAACACTCAATAGGCAGTGGCTTTTGTGTGTAACTTTTCACATTTGGGAGACTGTAATGCTGATTCCAGATTCTGCAGTTTCCAGCTGCATGCCAGAAAACTTAAATGCACTGTTTCCTTCCACACAGATGACCCACTGCCCCAGAGGCTTTCTATCTTTAGCCACTAGAGCAGTGTAACAGAAAACCACAAAACAATGTCCATTGTTTCACACATACCAGCATCAGACCTACTGGGGAACAAAGCTGAAATAAAACTCTGGGGCATGTCACAGAGGGTGGAGTTTGGCCCAAACCTTCAAATTGTATTTAATAAGGTCCGTGGAAAAATAAAGAAATGTAAAGGCATTCTTTTTTTTTCTTTTCTTTTTTTGAGACAGGGTCTCACTATGTACTCCAGGCTAGACTTGAACTCATAGCAATACTTCTGCCTTAGCCTCCCAAGTGCTGGGATTACAGGCATATTGCACCATGCTCAGCAAAGTATTCTTTCTTTAATATAAAATGTTTAGGCTATAAGGAACTAATTCTTAAGGATAAGCAGCATGAAAAGACAAGACCAGTCATGATTGCTTGGAGGATGGTGTTATGCAGTGTCCCCCAGAAAGTCAGGTAAGGGCTTGATCTCCAGTGCAGCCATGTTCACAGTGGGGCCTAGAGAGGACCATGAACACACTGACCTCAACAACAGATTAATCCATTGGGGTGCTTATGCCTAACTGGGCTTATCAGGAGATGGGCCCCAGTTGGAAGAAGTAGGACTTCAGGAGCTGCCTGTGAAAGGTATCCTGTCCTCTGCCTTCTCTCTCTGGGTGTCTTGCTCTCTCTCTCTCTCTCTCTCTCTCTCTCTGCTTCCTGGCTGCCATGAGGTGAGCAGCTTTCCTTCCACCATGGTGTTTCAGCCTTGGAGTCAGCTGACCGTGGACTGAAACCTCTGAAATCAAGAGCCAAATAAATTTTTTCTCCTTTAACTTGTTTTTCTCGAGTATTTGGTCATAGTGACAAAAAACTGACTAATGCAGATGGTAAATATATCCTTACAACACTGAGTATATAAATTATCATATAATACAAAGGACATAGCAAGGATAAAAACTTCACTTAAGAATACATTTATGAAATGTGTCCTTATACAATGAACATGTACATTCTCAAATGCTTTAATCTTTATTATTGTAGTTTCAAATTAAACATATTATAATTAATTATAATTTCTTTCTTGGAAGTCTTACCCACAAGGAAGGTAGTCTTGAAGCATACTATGTGCTCCTTTGCTGATCATGTAACTGTCATGGGCAGTTGTTCTTAAACATGGTAGATTACAGTGTAGTAATTCATAAGCAAGAAGCTAATTCCTAAAATGGATGAGGGGAATGTACTCTAAATTAGACTGGGATACAGTGAAAATAACCAATGTCAATGGGCTATTATCAAACTTACTTGGAAATAGGCAACAACTGTAAACTATAAGATTTCCAAATGGCTGTATAAAGGCTACTCTGAGAAGCTAATTGACCTGTAAACCTTCCTGGGGAACATAAGGAAAATGTATCCCACAGCTGGGCCAGTAGCACATACCTCTAATCCCAGTTACTTGGAAGGCTGAGCCAGGAGGGTCACATGTCTGAGCCCATCCAGGGCAACTGAGACCCTTTTTCAAAATAAAAAGGGCTAGGGATGTAGCTCAGTGGTAGAGTGCCCGTGGATTCAATCATTAACACTGCAAACAAAATAAATATGTCCACGAGTCCCAACTGGTGACACAATAAAATAAGTTGGGGAATATCCTTCTTCCTGGAGATCCATGCTGTTTGTTATCATACTAAAGACTCTGAGAAGTCCTATAGTAAAATTAGCTGGGGAAAACTGAGTTATAAAAAACTAAACAATCTTATTTGAACACTCTTAGGCAAACACTAGCTTAGAAAAAATGAAATTTTTACTAGAGAATATTTGTATATAAAATATGGCCCTAAATTTAAAATGAAAATGTTAGGATTACAGAAGATAGTCTGAATGTCTGGTTCTTCTCCTAGATACTGAAGAGGAAAGGAGGTATGCTACACCCACTATGTTGAAGAGCTCATGAATGGAGGGAAAAATAGCAATGAGGATGCTTTATTTTTATTTTTTGCTTAAATTCTTTTATTGGTACATTTAAGGTATACAATATGTTTACATTTATCATTGGGTGCTTGTACCTGTACATGATGAATCTTGGTTCTTATTTTTTCCCCATTACCTGCGCGCCCTTCCCTATTTACAAAGACTTCGTTTCCATTTTTTCCTTTTCTCATAATTTTTCCTTTCCCTTCTTACCTTTCCCCTTCCCCTCCCACTTCTCCTACCCCTTTGGACCTTTTCTTCATATTTCAAATTATCAATTATTCGTTTTAATCATTTTAGTCCTTATTTACACTTTCAGTTTCTCACAACAGAGAAACTATTCGGTATTTACACGAGTGTCCTATTTATTTCACTTAAGAGTATAGGCTCAATATGCATCCATTTAGCTATACACATCTCTTAGTTTCTCATTCTTTATGGCTGAGTAGTACTTCATTTTATTAAAAAAAAATTTTTCTTTATCCAGTTTCCAGGTGATGGGCACTTCGGCTGTTTCCAAGCTTTAGCTATTACAAACTGTGCCACTATAAACATGGGTGCACATATATCGCTGTGGTATGATTCTTTTAATTATTTGGGGAAGATCCCCAGCAGAGGAAGAGCAGGATCAAATGGGACCTCTAGCCCTAGTTTTTTGCAGTATCTCCATACAGGTTTCCATGGCGGTTGCACCAGTCTACAGACCCACTAACAACTCCCCACACCCCCGCCAGCATGTTATTGGTTGATTTTTTGATAGCAGCCATTCTTTCTGGGGTGAGGTGGAATCTCAGTGTTGTTTTCATCTGCAGAGGATGCTTTATATAGCCATATGCCTTCTTGCGCTGAAAGAAGGCCACCTGCAGCTTAGCAGGTAACAATCACATCTGGCCCCAGCACTTCCTCTTCTGTACTATTCTGCTCTGTTGGAGATTATACCTGAGGGGGGTGAAGGATCCTCTACACTCCCGCACAAGAGAATGGGGTGAGCTCCTCCCATCTTAAACTAAGGTGATTAGAAAGGACATAGGGAAACAAAGGGAGTAATCATGCCACAACTCAGAAAACAGAAGTGACATTAGCTCTTTATAGGTTACTGATTAAAATTCTAATGTAAGACAAAATCAGGCATTATCAATTCTGCTGTAATGCTTGATTTGAAAATGTGAATTTATTTTAAGACTACTGACATAATAAAAATAAGCAAAAGCAGAATTTCATATTTGCTAATGCATGATCTCATCAGCAAGAACCACAGCTACGTAAACACAGAAAACTATACACAGCTGAATCAAGATACATAAAAACACATAAAACAGTGAAGTCAGGAACGATCCATCTCACAATGAAAGAGAATGCAGTACAAATACTTTATTTATTTTTTGCAGTACAGGAACTGAACCCAGGCATTCACACTGAGCCAAATCCCAGCCCTTTTTATTTTTATTCTAAGTCAGGGCCTCGCTAAGTCACTAAGTTGCCCAGGCTAGGCTAGAACTTGCAATCATCCTGCCACCCTCCCAGAGTACTAGGACTACAGGCATGTACCATCACCCCTGGCTACAAAAACTTTAAACATCACCAAATCCTGCAAAAGTGGCTTCTTGATAGAAATGGATAGTTTGGTGGCCTCAATAATCAATTTCCAAAGCCCCCATGATCAGACAAGGCCACAAGGGCAGACAAAAAGGCTACAACATACCCTCCAGCAGCAATACAGAAGTTAAATGGGGGCCGGGGATTTAGCTCAGTGGTTTCACTGCCTGCTGCGCAAGCACAAGGACCTGAGTTCAATCCCCGGTACCAAAAAAAAAAAAAGATTGATGCAGAAGTTAAATGAAAAAGATGGCTATCATTAGATCAAATTTTCAGTATTGATGAAACAGCTATCTATTACACTCACACGCCTCGAAGGATCTGTATCTTAAAGGCAGAAAATGATGCCCGGTGTGTCCCTAGGACTTAAGGTTCAGAAAGATCCCTTAATTGTGATAATCTGTGCCTCAATCAAACTGAGGACAGTGAACCACATCCATCTGTCTGCTGTTAGAGCTTCCTACACAACGTCAGATCACCCTTTTCTCACCAATTCACGGTAACTCACAAGCTGCAACCCTCCTGATGCGCACTTCCATGAGAAAGGAAGGTCTTTTTCAAGGTGAAGTACCAGATCTACTATAATATACATGTAATATACTACATATGTTGTAATACATATATAAAATATATAACATATATTTTCTTAACCATTTAACATGGTTAAAACTTTGCTAACAGGGCTGAGGATTTAGCTCAGTAGTTCCACCACCTGCCTTGCAAGCACAAGGTCCCAAGTTCGATCCCCAGTACCAAGAAAAACAAAAAAACTTTGCTACCATTTTTATTAGGTTCCTATCTTTTATGAGATTCTTGAGAGTGGTGTACCTCTTTTTTCTTCTTGTCTTTTCTTCCTTCCTTCCTTCCCTCCCTCCTTTCCTTCCTTTTATGTGTATGTGTGTTGTTTTGTTGAGACAAGGATTTACTATGTATCTCAGACTGACCTCAAACTAGCTAGCGGGATGTAGTCCAGGCTGTCCTCGAACTTGCAATCTTCCTGCCTGAGCCTCCAGAGTGCTTCTAACCCATTTCTGAGCCTTGGTGCGTTGTTTTTTTCATGATTTTGCACAGCACAATTTCTAGGAATATATATATATCACAATTTGTGGAACTAAGTGAACCATGAACCTGAAGTATTCTGGAATTTCAGTAGGTCCTATACTAACTTGGACACAGCTTTGCTCTTCATTTTTTCCTCTCAATTTTCTACCGCTTGTTCTCTGTTTATGAGGTTTTTGAGGAGGATCCAGGGGATGCTGTTTTCTGGAGGATGCTGCCAGTGTTTTTATTATTCTAAAAGCTAAAAAAAAATCACAAATTGTTTTTTTTGAAAATAAACCTACAGTAATATAAAAGTCTCTTCTTATAGAAGACACACATATTGCTATACCATTCTCCTCTTCACACTGCTCATACTCTTCGCTTTTCCTCTAAGCAGCAAACAACTAGTGGAGACAAATGGGTAAACCAGGAAGCTTTGTCTGCATCAGTGGACTGAACTTCTGCCAGATGCAGAGATTCTCTCAGGACAGACTGAATTGGTACCTCTCCGTGTCTCACAGGCAGGGGCTCTTAAGCCCTCCTCAGTTGCTGACTCTAGAAGGAAAACCACAGCCTCCATTGAACCCTTAAAGAAAGGCGGACAAACAGCCTGTTTTGACAAATAAAATTGCTCAAAAGATTTAATATGTGATTGGGGACTTATCTTAATATTGTGGGCACAGAATAAGTGTCACTCAAAATCAAGTGAAATATGAGTTGTGGTTTATTTCTGGATGTCCCCTCTAAGCCTCATGTGCTTGAAGGTGGGGCTTTTGACAGGTGACTGGATCACGGTGGCGTTACAGCTACGTGCGCTGTTAGGACATGGGCCCTGGCGAAAAGAGGGGGTGCGACCTGGAAGGGTATAATCTCCCTTCTTGGCTCCTCCCTTTGTTCTCTCTTCTTGGATGCCCTGACACGAGAAGCTTTCCTCCATCCAGGCCATGCAAAGACTGAAACGTCTAAAACATGGGCCCAAATAAACCTCTCCCCCTTTAAGTTGCAGGTGTTGGGTGTTGTGTTCCAGCTAGGAAGAAAGTAACCATGACAACACATGACTATATTTTACCTCCTGCCACAACAGACTGCATAAATTATATATAAATAACAAGAATCTGAGCAAGTCACTGATGGATCTGAAGAGTAAAATGCTCTTTATTGCCTAAAGAAATACATACTAAGTTAGCTGTTGCCAGTGTATAAGCCATTTCTTAGCTGTTAATTTAACTCCTTTGGGGCCGGGGATTTAGCTCAGTGGTTCCACTGCCTGCCTCACAAATGCAAGGTCCAGAGTTCGATGCCTGGTACCAATAAAAAAAAAAATTTAACTCCTTTAGAAGCCATATTGTAATTTTTCAAATAGTTGGATTATACTTAGTAAATCTCTATTTGCTTACTTAATGACTTTAAACTGAAGTGTCTTCAAATTTGCTTACTTTACATAAACATGAGCTATGTGCAAGAAGTTAGATTTACCAAGTTCTATTAACTCAGTAGTATTTTTACCAAGGTTTTTTTTTGGTACCAGGGATCGAACTCGGGACCTTGTGCTTGCAAGGCAGGCGCCGGAACCACTGAGCTAAATCCCCCACCCTACCAAGCTATTTTTAAAAGTAGTTTTGATTGGGCTGGAAATTTAGCTCAGTGGTTACAGTGCCTGCCTTGCAAGCGCAAGGTCCAGAGTTCGATCCCCGGTACCAAAAAAAAAAGTAGTTTTGATCATAAATCTTGTTTAAAGTAGATAATAGCCTGTCATCAAGCAAATCAGAACTAACATTTTCAAGAATTGACTGTTCTTGTGCTTGCTTCATCAGCTCATGTACTAAAACTGGAATGATACAGAGATTAGCACAGCCCCTGTGCAAATTCATGAGCACTCTATATTTTTTATGTCTGTTTATAAGACAGAATCTTTTTTGTCTGTATCTTGTACTTCGAGTAACTACTCTGAAGATGATACAGTGTATTAACTATTGTTATTATTATTCTGAGACTGTATTTTTTTTTATAAAATAAAAATTCCAAAAAAAAGAGCACCGATCATAGTACAAGTTAAAAAAAACTGACTGTTCCTGCTGGACATGATGTCACAACCCTATAATTCCAGCTACTTGGGGCTGACGCAGGAAGATCACAAGTTTGAGGTCAGCTTGAGCAACTTAGTGAGATTCTCTCAAAATAAAAAGGGTTGGGATGTGGCTCAGTAGTAGAGCGCCCCTGAATCCAATCCACAGTACAGGGGAGAGAAAAAAAAGAATCCACTGTTCCTTAAAGATTAAGACACATAAACTAAACCCCAGGCAAAAGTTCTTACCTATTTGGTAACACCATTTATGTCTCCTAGCAAAGTCACAGCAAGCCTTACATTATTCTCAATTCCTCTGCAGATACTAACCTACAAGAAGAGAAAGAGCTCAAGAACAAGCCATGTTTATTCTTTAAAATATTTAAGAAGTCAATTAAGGCTGAATAAATGAACTGTGTATATATAACATATAATAAAGATTTGATATGAAAAAATTCCTTAATGCAAATAAAAATCCATAGAACTATATGAGTACCATAGCTAGTGTAGAAACCTATCTTCCCTCATTTGACATCTACTCTATGGAATTTTGGTACTGTTCCAATTACACTCCCAGAAATGACCAGATCAATTATAGTTTTGAATCTAACCAATAATAAGGATCTACTGAATTGTATTTGGAATTCCTATGGACAGCAGGGGTTCTCACATTTGAGCATGTATCAGAACCACCAAGCCGGCTTGTTAAGCCATACAGGGGAGGAGCCCCCTCTCAGAGTCTCTGACTTCAGCAGGTTTAGGAGGGGCTTAGGAACCACATTTCCAGTGGTTCCCAGGTGATGATGGCTGGTGACTCAAGGACTTCACTTTGAGAACCACTCTGAAAGCAGGACATGGTTATTTCCCATTTACTCAGAAGATTCATGGCCATAGCCAAGGAGAGGTGAAAACAGTTTCTGCAAGGAGGAATAATACCCCAAAGGGGGTGCATTTTAGTTGGTAATCAAGAGGAGCAATCAGGAAGTGTCAGTGTCTTCCAGGCACAACCCACAATCTCACTTGTTTGGATTTTTTGTTCTCATTGGCTACATGTGGGAAGGAGGCTATTAGAAGTTGATTCCTAGGGCCGGGAATTTAGATCAGTGGTTCTGGCACCTGCCTCGAAAGCGCAAAAGCGCAAGGTCCCGAGTTCGATCTCCGGTACCAAAAAAAAAACAAAACAAAAAAATAAGTTGATTCCCAAGGAAGTAAAGGGTAGAGAGGGAGAAGAGAGTAACTGCGGCTGAGTCATGAAACATCAAATGGAATGGAGCCAATCTGCCTAGGACCAACAGGGTTTCGTGCCACTATGTAGGCAGCGCTTCCCACAGCATGGAAACTGTCTTATGAAGAGGGTCATAATGATAACAAGGTCATCAAAGAGAGGCCAGAGCATTTTCCAGACACTCTGTTTCATGACACAGCTAAAAGGAGACCTGAGATTTCTAACTAAAGGACAAAAGAAAGTTGGAGCATATGAAAGAAAGCATACTATAAAACAATGCAGAATGTTTCAATTTTACTCTACCAACCTACTGAAACCTCCTTTCTCTACCTTTATATCTGAATTGTGAAGAAGAGGCAAATTATGCTTTTTAAACTATATGAAACTTGATTTTGAAAGGTTTTCTGGTTAGCAGTAAAATGACATTATGTTTTGTAGGATTGAAAATGCAGCTTACTTTGGTACCTGTAATTATGTTAGACAAGTTATAAAATCTACTTTTGTAAAAAGAAAAAAGTATTTGGGAGCCTTAAGAAAGCAGCAGAGCTGATAATGGCTGAGGAGAGAAATAAACTGCTGCTGGCTCTGATTTGAAATTTCTCTTCTCTGAGTAGCTGGGTAAACTTATCTGGCTGGTATCTTGGAGGCAGTCCAAATGTAAAACCCAACTTGGTCTGGCACAAAATAATACAATCACATTAGCAAGTTGCAAAAAAAATTAAATCTGATAACACAAAACATGTATCTGTATTTCTCATTCAAAAGAATTATCCTAGTCAGGTGTGGTAGCACATATCTGTAATCCCGGAACACAGGAGGCAGAGGTAGGAGGACCACAAGTTTAAGCCCTGCCTCTGAGAGTGAGACTGTCTCAAAAAACTGAGAAACAAAACAAAACATCATCAAAAATTTAATTTCTAGAAAAGTACTATCTGACAGACCTTTCTATAGTAGTAGTTCTGCTCTCTCTGCATAGTCAGATATGGTAGCCACTCCCCACAAGTGGTTATTGAACACTTTTAATGTGGCTGTTACAAATGAGGAACTATAGTTTTGTGGTTTTGTTGCTAGTGGTGTTATTTGTGGTACTGGAGATTGACCCCAGGACCTTCACTAAGTGTTATTTAATTTTAATTAATTTAAATGTACATAGCCACATATGGCTAGTAGCTACTAGACAGTATAGTTCCCGAAGTTCAAATAACAATATTTTTAAATGTATAACCATTTTACTTTATGATATTTAAGAGTTAGAGATTAAACCCAGGGCCTTGGCACTGAACTACATCCCCAGCCCTTTCATATTTTGAGTCAGGGGTCTCACTAAGTCACTAAGTTGCCCAGGCTAGGCTTGAAGTTTTGATCCTCCCACCTCAGCTTCCCAGAGTTTTGGGATTTCAAGCGTGCACAACCATGTCCAGCTTATTTTTCTTTCTTCATACTGTCTTCTATAATCTCTTCAAACGAAGTAATCCTTCAGCTGAAAGACATAATAGCTCTACTCCAAAATATAACACACAACAGAAATGAAACTGACTTCAGTTTACCTGCCAGCAGACAGCCTGTGAAGGAAGCATAACAAGCTTATGAATAAAGAATACTAGGACTTAAGCATATTAACATCCTTATAGTACAAGAATAATTTATTATTGATGTGAGCTTTTTTTTTGTACTGGGGATCAAACTCAAGACCCTGTGCTTGTGAAGCAGAAGAATAATTTATTATTAAGAGACTAAAATTTAAATGTAGAGGAGGAATTGGAAATCACTTTCCATTTTAACAAGAAATGTGCTACCTGTAAATTTCAAATAATGGTTTACACATCTAATTTTTAGGTTTTCAGGAATTTGCTTTTGCCATCTAATACCCTCTTAAAATTGCTAAAATATCTTTGGGTTCTATAGGAATATCCTCTTTTTTAAATTACTCATACTGCCAGGTGTGGTGGCACAGGCCTGTAATCCCAGCGCTAGGGAGACTGAAGCAGGATTGCAGAGAGTTTGAGGCCAGCCTGGGTTACACAGTGAACTCAAAGCCAGCCTGAACTACACAGTGAGACCCTGTCTCAAAAATAAATACATAAATAAATTTTAAAAACTCACTCGCTCATACTTGCTGTTCACAGTGGCATCTTTAATCCCATCACTTGGGAGGCAGAGGAGGATTATGTTGAGTTCAAGGCCACTCTGGGCTACGTGGTGAGTTCAAGGCCAGCCTGGACCTATAGTGAGACCCTGTCCCCCAAAATAAATAAATAACTCATACTGATCATTCATTCATTCCTGTCTCCCTCTTTCCTTTTTTTTTGGAGGGGGGGCATGGTACTAGGGATTGAACCCCAGGCCTATGTCCTTAGCCATTTTTCTGTTTTCCAAGAGGGTCTCCCTAAGTGTTATCAATAAATTTCCTGGGCTGGACTTGAACCTGTGATCCTCCTGCCTCAGCCTCTCAGAGTGCTGGGATTATAGGTGTGTGGCACTATGTCCAGTCTGTTTTCCTTTAGTCATTTTCTACTGCATTGATTACTGCTCTTACATTTATTATCTTGCTTCCTTCATTTTGAGTTTGTTTTTTCTTTCTTTTTCTAGTATCTTTTTTTTTTTGGTACTGGGGATTGAACTCGGGTCCTTGCGCTTGTGCAGCAGGCAGCGAAACCACTGAGCTAAATCCCCAGCCCCTAGTATCTTAAAATATAAACTGTGAATTTTTAAAAAAAATCTCCTTTGTTAACAGATTCATTTAAGGTTATTCCCTCTAAAAACTAATTTAACAACATCTTATGAGTTTGGTATCTCATCTTTTCATCATCACTCAATTAAAAATATTTTCTATCTTTCATTGTGATTCCTTCAACTCATTGGTTAATTAGAGTCCGTAGTGATATCTCCTTTTTTAATTCCTGATACTGATGAACTATATTTCTCCTTTTTTTATTCTTGATCAGTCCAGGTTACATATATTTACTGGATAATGCCAATCCTTGGCAATTTGTTTAAACTTCCTCTATGGCCTCTACATGATTAGTTTTTATTTTTTTAACTATACTTCAGCTCATAATTAGGAAGTGAGAGGAGACACTAAATTAAATTAAATATGAGATACTCTGGAAAATGCTGAGTATGTTCTCAAATTCTTCTTAGTCTAAAACATTATTTTTCTAGTATTATTCTCAAATCTTTAGAAATAACAATAAATTGGGTATTTCTACCAATCATTAAGCTTTAAATGAAAGAGCATATTGAATTTAAATAAATCCACACTGGGGCACAAATTTAACAAAAATGTTTATGAATCATAATCTTAACTAACACCACTACTGTAATATGTCAAAAAAAGTTGCACCAAAATAAAAAGATTGCACAAAGGCTCTTGCTCTTTTTCTATGTTGCTAATCTCTGCTGGCCCTATCCCCTTTGGCACATAAGTTCAAATTTAAACAGGAAAATAAATAATGAGACAATGCCTAAGAAATGCAAGTGCATAAAATAAAATACCTGCTACAATAAGCACTTATTCAGACACTGAAAATCTGCCCACTTACCATAAGACAGGGTGAGAAATTTTGCTACACAATGCAGAATATAAAACAGCATATAAGAAAAAGTATACTGCTCTGGCAGTTGTCAAAATTTGAGAGGTAAGTGGCTTTATAATCATAAAATAATCTGTTTGGGCCAGGGATTTAGCTCAGTGGTTTCGTCGCCTGCTGCGCAAGTGCAAGGACCCGAGTTCGATCCCCAGTATAAAAAAAAAAAAATAATCTGTTTATCAAATTACCTCCACTCATCTGCAGAATAGTATATGTAGTACTTAAGAGAACAGACCTAGAGCCAAACTTTCATTCAGAGTCCAGCGCTCCTGTGTAATTTTGTACATACTTATTCTTCTAGAAAATGAATGTAATTCAGAGCAATGCTGTTAATACATGTAAAATACTCAGAATAGTGCTGCAGCCAGGAAACTCTTCGCTAACAGTTAACTTTCTGAAAATCTGCCTGCTTGCTGACCAACTGATCAATAAATGTTTTGACTAGTCCAAGGATCTGACAAAAGACAGTCAAGTCATACTCAACTATACCTTTCTCATTTGCACAAACATGTTCCTGAATGCATTCTGAGCCTGTTTCTATATTCCCTCTAAATCATCCTGTCAGTACCCGTAGTTTAGGTACTACCATGTCTTCTTTTCACTACCACCATGACTCTGGTTGCCTAAGGAACATGTGTACTGGGTGTCCCACTGGCATCTCAACTCATACATTCATAAATTGAACTCATCACCTTTCCCTTCCAAATTGGCTCTACTCTCTATATTCTCGCTGTCAGTCAGTGGCACTATAAATCATATAATCAAACTAGCCCCCAAATTAGGAATCATCTCCAGAAGAGCTTGCCCTCTCCTTCCTAGCTGGTTAATGCCTACTCATATTTAAGACAGCTCAGATAGCTGGGCAGGGTGGCACAAGTCTGTAATCCCAGCATTCTGGAAGGCCAAGGCAGGAGGATCGCAAGCTCAAATCTAGCTCAGGGAACTTGGTGACTTAGTGAGATCCTATCTCAAAATGGAAAATAAAAAAGAGCTGGGGATACAGCTCATTGCAAAGACTCTGGGTTCAATCCCTAGTGCCACAAAAGGAAAAAAAAAGACATCTCAGACACCAGTTTTTTATGGGAAACTCCCTGAAGTCTTAAACTGAGTTGGGTGCTTCTTCTCTGGGTTTCCACAATATATCTTTATCACCACCTGTATCACATAATAAAATTGTTTGTATCTGTCTCTATAGCTAAGTTATAGCTAGCTTCAAAGATAGGAACTATCATCCCTTTCTTTATCCAATGTGCCACAAAGCATCTGGGCCTAAGGAATCCCCAGCTAAGCTTGTAGGAACTGAAATAAAACTTCAATCTGTATTCCGTCTTCTGGCTCTACTCTGCTGGTCCAGGGCCTTATGCATGCTAGGCAAATGCTCAACCATTCAGCCATATTATAGTCCTGCTGCTGCTGGTCCATACTTCATACTACCATGAATATCATTTTCCTAAAGTAAAATCTTAATTATGTCTCTCACCTGTTTAGAAAAGCAGTTAAAGAATCTCCCACTGTCTATTGTAAAAAAAAAAAAAAGGTCCAGATTTCTTTTCTAGCTAAAGGAAATTCTCCGCAACCCCTCCTTGGTCTACCTATCCAGTCTCACAGCCCACTATGCCTTCAAACTATCTTGATGCAACATGAACAAGCATTACCTTTACAGACAATCTTTTCTGTCCCACCAAAGAGAACCGGTCACCCACTTGGTGCTACAACTATTCCTTATGTGTATATCTATTTTGAGAATTATTGCAAAAGACAAGTTTTTCTGTATGTCTTGCCCTCACCTTTCCAGACCATGATCATCTTGAAGGTCAAGATTAAGCCTCTCTTCTTGGGCTGGGGATTTAGCTCAGTGGTTTCGCCGCCTGCTGCACAAGCGCAAGGACCCGAGTTTGATCCCCAGCACCAAAAAAAAAGAAGATTAAGCCTCTCTTCTTTATGTCCCTCTCTCCCATTGGTTATGTAGCAGAATAGCTAGCATACAGTACACAACCAATAAATGTCTGCTGTATGAAGAAGGAAGTAGTGGCACCATACCACCTGCAGAAAAATAGTTAAAATCCAGGCCCTACTAATAGTTCAAGGTCTTCATCTTCCTATATAAGTAAAAGAACAGAAGTTGTTCCAACTAAGAAGAGCAAAAGGTAGGGCTGCAGGTATAGTTCAGAGGGAGAGCACTCGCCTAGCATGCATGAGGCTCTGGGATCAATCCCCAGAACTATTAAATAAATATTTTAAAAGGTAAAACCAACACAAATTCAAAACTTGCTTGTTTTTTAAGGTTTAAAAAAAATTCAAATCTTATATATAAGGCATGCCATTTAATTAATAATGCCAAAGCTTCACATAATGCAAAAGCCCCAATCAGACCAGGTACTGTGGGGATACGATAACAAATGAACTGCAATTTCTCTTGTCTACAAGCTCACATCTGATAGCACTTGAAAGGTAAAGGAAACTATCTTGGCAAGAAATGGCAAGAGTCTAAATTAGAGGGCAACAGCAGATACAGGACAGAGGAATACTTAGCCTCAGCTGGACAGACAGAATGTAACATCTACAAAAGTAGAATCTTGATCTTTTAAACAACATTTTTTTTTTTGGTACTGGGAATCGAACTCGGGTCCTTCCAAGTTTGAAGCAGGCGGCGGAACCACTGAGCTAAATCCCCAGCCCAGGTTCTTGATCTTTTAAAGTAGCATTGTTAAGAAAAGGATAGGCTGGGCTGGCAGAGGAATCACTGAAAGTGGGTTGGCAAAATGTCTTATTTTCCTTTTCTTGATTCCAAATAAGCCTCATAACACACCAGGCACCAGCAGTACAAATGTGTAGTGAACGAATAACATCTCAAATCAGCGAGAAGACCACACTGTAATCACAGCACTCTGGGAGGCTGAAGCAGGGGGATCACAGGTTTGAGCCCTGCCTAGGCAACACAGTGACTCAATGTCTCAAAATAAAAATAAAAAATAAGGGCTGGGATGTAGCTCAGTGTAAAGGCCCTGGGTTCAATCCCCAGTGTCACAAAACACAGATAAAACAAAAACTTTCCTTTCCTGAAGCTCACAGCATAACAGGGAAGTCAGACTTCACTCAGAATTGTCTCTTCCAGTTTTGACGCTTACATTTGGCAAAGCACAATACAATAGTACGAGTAAGGACTGGGACCCAGGTTCAAAACCTGCCTCAATTACTACCAACTGAATCACCTCAGACAAGTTTTTACTCTCTGCATGTCATTTTCTTACCTGTCAACTAGGATTAACAACAGTTAAAATAATCAATAGTGACTGATTTACACAAAACCTTACAATAGTGGTAAAGGCTGAGTGCTTCCAGTGTGTAGCTCCCACTGTTATCCATCATTCCCGCAATGCCCTCAGCTACCTACGTCCATACTCACCGCTTGCTCGTTGCTCGTTCCTCGTCCTGAGGTACCTGATGCGCAGCTCCTGGGTGCCAAGGGCGATTTCGGTGGCCGGGATGCCCACGACGCCAAACATGTACAGTACATTCTAGGGGGTTCAAGAGAGGGGAATAAAACGCCCAACCCCACACCGATCGCCACATCCTTCTCCCCTTCTGGGCGCCAAAAGGAAAAGGAACCACCCATACCCCACGCCCTTCACGCTTCTTGTCTCCAAGACAACGCTTCTTGTCTCCAAGACAACGCTTCAGCCCCCGCCGGCCACCGTAGGACTCTTCCCTCCAGAGATACCTTCTACTCGTGTCTTCAGGGTTTGGGCTACGACTTTAGCATGAGACACCTGCTCCTCACTTCTGACGCTCCACTCCGCAAAGTTACTTTCTGGCAGCTCCACCTAAGAGTTCAAGATCCTCTCGCAGCCGACAGCGAAAAAAACTCAAAAGGCGCCGCATGCCGCGCCTCCGACAGAGGGACAGCCAATCGCTTTAAGTAACGGGAGGAGAGGGCGGGGACTACGCGGTCTGTTCCCCATGAGGTGAGTGTGAACACGCCCCTCTTCTGTAGGAGCGCGCCCTCTTCCCTGCGAGGAACCCGGAAGGGAAGGGAAGTCTTCTCGGGTTCAGAATGTCAAGGGGAAGAACTAACAGCGGAATGCGGCCTGCGCCAAGCAGGTAAGAAGCCAAACCTCGGAGGCCTTTCGCCACTGTAGCTACCTTCACGCCTTTCTATACCGCCGAGGGCCACTAGCGCATGCGCTTACCCGGGCGGGCTGAGCCCGTGAGGAAGGGGGCGTGGCGAAGCGCGGTTCCGGTTCCGCCCCCCGCTGGGTTGCTTAAAGGGTGCGGGATGGGATGGAGGGCGTCTAGCCAAGTGGTCCGTGTGGTCTGGGTGGCTTGACCTCCGGTTTTATAATGTAGTACGCCGTAAACCACAGTAACGCACGTTACCTAAGTGTATGCCAGAGGCATGCTGTCTACCCTCATTTTATAGACGACCCTCAGCTTCCAAGCAAGAAATACCTTCCCCAGAGTCTTTGGACACAGAACCAGCTTCAGACTCTAATCCTGTTTCCTACCCACCGTTGGGCCCGTAGGCCACGACAGAGCCAACCTTTGCTGCTAACCTACTTTACTCTCCAGCACTATTTTTCCAAGGCCAGGAAGTGCGGCGCTTTTTTTCCAGTTATTTTATTCGGTCCACGCCTTACAACCAGCCCCTGCACCTGATCGCGTTTTAAAACAATTTTCAGTGAGGGAGGTGCTTGCAGGGTGCGATTTCTGACGCTATGCCTCTGTCATTAGATCACCTCCTCAGTAACAGTAAACATAAACATTAGTAAATAGGCAATCTGCTTACAAAATTTGGGGCCACCTAAAAATTGGAGAAAAAAGTTAAACTCAGTCATATCAAAAGAACTTTAAATTTTCCAGGATTTGGAGTTTTGTTAAGCAAAAAAACCTGTGATAGAAGACCAAGAGACAGGAGGGGAGCAGGTCATGGCTGGTGAAATGAATAAGAAGCATTGGAAGTGGAAGGATTTCTAAACCCAGGGATTTTCAAACTGCAGTTCTAGGCCCTTCCAAAAAGTCCTCCTTTCTATATGCAGAGTGAAATGGTTATATCCCTGGATACAGGAGACATCTAAGAGGGAGATATCTTTAAAGTCTCAGAATTCATCTAAAAAGTGAAGATTTAGCATTCTACTGCAAAATGGGTCCATAGTTTAAAAAATGACATTTTAAACTGTTTATTAAAGTATAATAAAAACACAGATCTTAAATGTCAGGTAGATTTTCACAGGTATGTACAACCACCCAAAATAAAAATGACATTTTAAACTGCTTACCCATCAAGTAAAATTGACACTCCAGAAAGATGTGAAACACTCTTTCTGTACTTTGAACAGTCCTTGGCACAGTTCCTGCTGCCTCTGAGAAATATAGACTTCACTCCTCACTGCCATGTGGTACTGTTTATGTCAGTGCTTGTATGACAGTCTCTGCCCTCGTTGCATTGGAGTCCCTCGGAAAGCTTTTTCAAAATATAGTTTGAACCTCCCTCAGATCTTGTAAATCAACATCTTAGGACAAGTTAGGCACTTGTATGTTTTTAAAGCTGCTAGCAGATTTCCCACCCAAATTGAGGCCCACTAGCTTTAATGAGAGGCATGAGTTAATAATTAAATATTTGCTTGCCTATTAACAGAAAAACACTGTTGTAATTTGGATTTATGAGGTCAGGACTGAACCTATTCAACCTTGACAGCACACACAAATAGTAGTCAATTCATGGGACCTTGTATCTACTTCTGGGTTAAAAGAATCACTGAAGGATAGCAAGTTCTAGCCCACCTTGGACAATTTAGTAATTTAGCAAGACTATTTCTTGAAAAATAAAAAATAAAACAAGATCTGGGGATGTAGCTCAGTGGAAAGGCCTTGGATTCAATTCCTGGTACAAAAAAAAGTCACTGATAAAACTGCTCAATATGAAGCACAATGAAAACTGAACTCTGAATGGGAACAACTCCCTGGAATTCAGATATGGTGGTTTTGTAAAAGAACAAATCCTAAATTGCTAGATTCTGTTTAGCACAGAGTAAAGTCATTAGGATTGTTCATGCTTTCACCTTTACACCATTGGTTCAGGGTGCACTTTCCACTGTTCACTGGACTCTGATACTTTAGCAGAAGTGATGTGAGTCCTACTCCTAGGAGTAACAGGACAGTGGAGCAAGTTCTTTTCAGTTCAAGTGTAATTAAAAGACTAAGATCTGCAATTTGTCCAGAGTCCTTTGTGTGGACTTTGTAAGTGTTCTCACATTCTTTATTATTTTTGCTGGCAGTAGGCATGGACTTTTGTTTTTGTTTACTTATTGGCTTTGGTTTTTAAAAAATTTATTCTTCAAAGGAAGAATAGATTTAATTTATTTTAAAGAAAAGACTAAAGTCTTAGAAACATGTTCTCCGAAGAGCGGAGGCAGTCATCAGAGTCTCCAAGTTGATTCTTCAGGTGTTCTAGATTTGAGGTTATGAGAAAGACCTGTTTGGCAAGTTTCTTCCATCTGGGTGGAAAGAATACACAGGCAACCAGAAGATTTAGCAAGAGTTGCAAATATAGTGCAAATATAGTGAGAAAATACACTCTCAGAAGATTGAAGCTTCTACAGACATTAAACCCTTACACCCTCAAAAGGTGATAATACATTTTAACTTCAGTAACTAACAAGGACAGTAAGAATCTTTGTGATTATTTTAAAGCATAACACTGTCTGAACCTGTGAGAAGGCCAGCCTGAACTACATAACGAAACCCTGTCTCAAAAAACAAACAAAAGTCAGCAACAAGAACAAAAAGGAAATTACATAGAACACAATTTTTAAAAGACACACTTAACACTGTGCAACAGGAAATGTGTTGTAGAAAATGTCAACAGAGACAGAGCAGGACATAAAGTAATAAAACGGTTCTTTGAATAAAACAGATTAAGTTGATTTTGCTTGCTTCTCATTAAATTTATGGACTGGAAGTACCAAAGCTCAGAGATAGGCTTGAAGGAAAACCAGTGAAAAGCCAGCTTTCTTATGGACCCATCAGGGACAGTTCAACAATAACTCCACAATAGAAACTCCTCACGCCTGTCCCAGGTACCCTCCAGCCTAGAGAAAGGCTGGATTCCCGCCCAGGGCCTGCACTGGCAAGTGCTTAACCTTCACTCTGCATGTTAATGCCAGTGAGACCTGGGACCAGAGCAGGGAGCATTATGGAAAGAAAACAGAAGGAACATTGTTTCCCTTTTTTAGTTTTGCTTCATTCATTATGAACTTTTGGGGCGTTTTTTTTTTTTTTCTTTTGGGGCTTTTTAAAGTAAATTTGGGATGGTTTGACATAGACAGTAAACTTCACTGACAAGGATGTTTACTTTGTTTAAAATGCACAGAAAACTGACAACTGAATGTTGTACTATGAGAATGTAGGAGATTCGTCTCAAATGGTTTGGAAATCATAAACAGTAGTATTTCTCATTGTGATGGAACTCAACACTTGAAGGTGACCTTCAGGCTAGGGGTGCAGCTATCATGTGAAAGATGACACCAACATTGAAATATTTTGTTTTCATTTATTTCTTTTGTTTAGCCATTAGCATTCATTACAGCCCCTTGCTTTAGCTTTTTAAATTTCCTTATTTGCTTTTAGTACTTCATTTTTAAAATTTACCTTATTGTTAAAGAATTATCTCTGGACCAGACACTCTTGATTCTCAGATTTTAGGGTTGAACCAGGGTACAGCTCAGGTGAGGGGCATCTTCATGATGAACTTAAGCCTGTAAACTTGTCTCTTTATCATAACCTTTGAGTTCTTTTTCAGAGCTTAGCTGTGATTTATTGTCTCATACATTTAATATTTATGAAGTCTTTCTGAACACGAAAGGAACACTGATTAATACACAACCACATACCCACTCTTAGCTTAACTCCATTACAAATACAGTGAGCCTCCTGTTTCCCTCCCCCTTTGCTTCTCCTTCCCTCTTCGATAAAGATAACAACTGTCTTGCATTTGATGTTTATAATTCCCACATTGTCCATTTTTTAAGGTGATAAACATTGTCTTAATCTATTGCCTGTTGCTGTAACAGAATCCTTGAGACTAGGTACTTTGTAAAGGAAGAAGTGTATTTTGCCTCATGGTTCTAGAGACATGGAAGTCCAAGAGCATGGTGCTAGCATCTGCTTGACTTCTGGTGAGGGCCTCACAGCAAAACAGCAAGCAGATGCTGAGGAAGAAAGAAAATGGAGCCGAACTCCCAAGATAGCAAAGCCATTCCTGAGAGAACAGCATTAATCCACTCAGGAGGGGTCTGTTCCCATGACCCAGATACTTCCCAGTAGGCCATACCTCCCAGCACCACTGCATGGAAGAAGTAAGGTTCCACACATGCATTTTTGGGGAACACATTCAAACTATAACAGACATTTAGGTCATTTTTACATTTTCAGTATATGAACAGTGACCTTTGGGCATTCTTGCATGTCTTCTTGTGGTGCGCATGTGAGAATGCATATAGATTTATATGGGGAGGTCAGTATCAGTTTTACCAAGCATTGCTACATTGATTTCCAGAGTATGAATTTATACTTCCATCATATGTATATGAGAACTCTCCTTTGTCTACCTCCTCAATTTGGAACTTAAAAAAATTTGCTGATCTGATAGATATGGAATGGCTTCTCATTTCCATTTTCCCACTTGCTGATGAGGGTGTGTGTGTGTGTGTATGTGTGTATGTATACACGCATGCGGATTTCTTCATCTGTAAATTACTTATAATTTTTGCCCATTTCTTTATTGGATTATTTATCTTTTTCTTATTATTTGGGCATCATACTGTTTGTTTGTTTTTTGGTACAGAGGATCGAACTTAGGACCTTGCGCTTGTGAGGCAGGCACCGGAACCACTGAGCTAAATCCCCAGCCCTTTTTCTCATTATTTGTGTGTTATTTATATATTCTGAGTGCTAATTCTTTGTCTTTTAAATTTCTTATGTTAGTTTTTTTTTGGTACCAGGAATCAAACTCTGGGCCTTGCACTTGCCAGGCAGACACTGAACGGCTGAGCTGCCTCCCCGGCCCTGTTATACTTACTTTTGAAATATGTGTTTTTTATAGTTATATGTGACAATTTTTTTCCTTTATGTTTGGCTTAGTTTGTCTTTTGTTTTTTTTGAAACAGGGTCTCGGATGTAGTCCAGGCTGGCCTTGAATTTGCAGAGATCCTCCTGTCTCAGCCTCCTGAGTGCTGGGATTACAGGCGTGCACCATCACACCCAGCTTCCTTTATGTGTTATACCTTTTGTGTTTTGCTTAGAAAAACCTCCTAAACTGAAGCTATGAAGTCTTTTCTTGTATATGAAGTCTTTTCCTATATCAGAAAGTTTGTTTTGGTTTTCTTTTTTTTTTTTTTTTGGCACCAGGTATCAAACTTGGGACCTTGTGCTTGTGAGGCAGGCGGCAGAACCACTGAGCTAAATCCCCAGCCCTGTTTTGGTTTTCATATACATCCCTACTCTACCTGGAATTTTAAAAAATATATATTATAGGAGGTAAGAACCCAGGTTTTTTTTTTTTATGTAATGAAATTTTTTGGATAAGTACACTAAAATTTAGGGGCTTAAACTACCATTTATTTAATTTCTATTCCTGTGAGACCAGGTTCAGCTAAGCACAGTCATAAGTCTATGGTGAGTTGCCAGTTACCTAGGTTGCTCTGCCAATGGGTGTTTCTGAGTGGGATGTTGTCTAGCTGGGTGCCTAGCATATCTGCCACCATGTCCCATGTCCCTTATCATTCATCTACCCAGGTTTCTTCATATGTAAGCAGGTTGCAAAAGGGAACAAGCCCCATCGTATCGGCCTCTATATGTCATGTTTGGTCACAGCAAATTACATGGCTGAGCTCAGACTCTGAGCTAAGGCATTAAAATTATATGATAAGGGGGCCGGGAATTTAGCTCAGTGGTTTCTCCGCCTGCTGTGCAAGCGCAAGGACCTGAGTTCAATCCCCGGTACCAAAAAAGAAAAAAATTGTATGATAAGGAAACATGGGGTGTGTGTATGTATTACGTATAAACTGTGTGTATGTATATATATATTATAAATGATATATGATACATGTGATATTATGTATCATTGGAATAAGAATGACTTACACTGTAGTGCTTGGATAACACATAGTCTATTTCTGGACTTTCTATTCTTTTCCTAAGGAAAAAATGTAATTGAAAACACCAATCCCATACTATCTTAATTTCTGTATTTTGAAGATGTCTTGATGTTAATATAGGACAAGTAGTCCTTCTGCTTAATTATTTTGAACCTATCTTATCTGTTGTTAGTTTTAAGAAAATAGGAGGGGTAGAAGAGTAACCTATATATTAAAAAATAAAAGATATATTAAATTTTTAAATGAGGAAGAGTAAACTATAGTGTCTAGGGATGCATATTGGGTGACAAAGCTATTTTTAAAAATAAGGAAATGATGACTATAAAGGTCATGGTTATGATTATTTGATCATTTATAGGTAAGGTCATATTTAATAAAACAAAAGCCAAAAGCAGGACATCCAGACTCCCAGTTAAATTTGAATTTCAGACTAACAGCAATATTTTTTTCAGTATAAGGATAGTCTAACATACTTATTCATCTAAAATTTAAAAATAATTTTGGGGAGTACCGGAGCTCAAACTCAGGACCCTGCACTTGCGAGGCAGGCATGGCGCCACTAAGCTAAATCCCCAGCCCTAAAATTCAAATTTAACTGGGCCTCTTGTATTTTATCTGACAAAATCATGATTTTATTGAAGACGATAAGGTACTTTAATTACCTAGCCCTCCTTGTAACTAGAAATGGTCAGGTTCCCTGTCTTCGCCACTGAACCCCAATACCCAACACCAGCAACTTAAAGGAAGAGAGGTTTATTTTGGTTTCAAGTCCATGTCTGGAAGGTTCAAACAGCAAGACCTCATGCGGAAGGGCCTGCAGAGGACAGCAGCTCAGGCCATGGTGGTGAGGAAGCAGAGAGAAGGGAGGAGCCAGGGAGTCACCCCACCAGCGACCCAACTCTTCCCACCAGTCCCCACCTCCCAGTGGCACATTCGGCTCTGAACCCAGGATCCATTCACCTTGTATTCTTTTTTTTTGTTGGTACTGGGGATCGAACTCTGGTCCTTGCGCTTGCGCAGCACCGGTGAAACCACTGAGCTCAATCCCCGGCCCCTCCATTCACCTTTTAAAAGCCTGACTTCTGAGTGCATAAGGCTTTAGAGGGACATTCTTGATCGATCTAAACCATAACAGTCTGGCCCTGACCCTCAGACTCATGTGCATCTCCTTATGCAAAAGGAATTTGGTACATTTCTAAAAGTTACCGAAGTTTTAATAGTTCTAGCATTACTGAGAAGTTTAAATCCAAAGTCTCCTCTGAGCTTCAAGTGAAACTTTTAGCTGTGAACTCCTATAAAAAAAAAAAAAAGTTAAACGTGGCTAACATACAATGCCACAGGTTAAACATTCGTGTTCCAAAAAGGGAGGAATAGGGCCAGGGATTTAGCTCAGTAACACCAGTCCTGAGTTTGATCTCTGGTTCAAAAAAGAAAAAGTTATCTAAAAGGGAGGAATAGGAGGATATGAGACTGAAATCCAGCAGAACAAACATTAAATCCTGTTCCTACATGTCCAGCATCAGGGGTGAAGATGTGAATTCACTTGTCTTGGGCAGCCCCATCCCTGTGGCACTGCCAGTACAGCCCCCATGCCATCTCTCTTGGGGTGGCTTTGCTCACTGCCTGTGGCTTTCCTTAAGCATTCCATGTTCCTGGCTTCTCTAACTTCCTGGGGTCTCCAGTGCACTTTTGGCTTCCCTCTCACAGCTGCACACACTGCTCCTTAGGGACACACTGCCTGACATCCCGGCCTATTTCTGAAGCCTGGGTAGAAGCCTCCATGACCCTACATGTCTGATAGTCTGTGTGACTGTAACACCAGCACTACATGGATGATGCCAAGGTCTGCTGCCAGCTCAAGCAATAGCCAGGGGCCCGTTAAAGGATGGCTCAGAGGCCTCTGAGTGCCTGAATGGCTGAGCTCCAGGAAACTTTCCCAGCTGGCCCCAAGTGAGCTGGGTTCCAAGGAACTCTCTTCTCCAAGCAGAGTCTTTCATTTTTGGACCCTTGAACCTGTGGAAGGAAGGCCCAAAGCATCCTTCCTTTTGTCCTGATATAAAGGACCTAGCTTTTTATTTTTTATTTTTTTTGGTACCAGAGATCGAACTCGGGTCCTTGCGCTTGTGAGGCAGGCGGCGGAACCACTGAGCTAAATCCCCGGCCCAAGGACTTAGCTTTTTAATTCTAATGTTTTCAGCAGCCAAGCTGTCCTTGGTCAAGACCTTACAGATCCCATATTTACAGATGCCCATTCATGTTAAATACCTTTCTAATTCCTCAACTTTTATTGCTTATTTATATTAGTGTCTGATTTTCTTGCACTGCTTCCATGTTTGTCTTACTTTCTTTATTTTTCTCTTCTTTCCAGAGCTCTGCCAGGTAACATTTCATTTCCCCTCCCTTCTCCCCCTCTTCCTCCTCCTTTCCTGTCTTCCTGTCTTGCAGGCCTCCTCCTCCTCCTTCCCCTCCTTTTTCTTTTAATACTTTAATCCCTGGTCTATTTTGTGCACTTATTTATAGAAGAAATTTTCTTTTTCATTCATGGAAGAATGTTTAGTCATAGTTTTTATGTGCTTCATGGCAATTTTCCAGTAAATAATCTTTGATTTCTTTTCTTGTAGAATCTTTTCAGAACTCACGAGCTTTTTATTTATGTATTTCCAAGTGATTGAATTTTTCCTGCACATTATTTTCAGGAGGTTTATGTGGGAGGTGAATGAGTCCTTTCTATGTTGACAGTTACTTTCTCTCAGCACATTGAAAATACCATCTTACATCTGTGTTTGCTCTTGAAAAGTTTAGATTATTCTATCTTCAAAGATAATCTCTTTTCCCTCTGGTTGGTTTTAAGTTTTATTTCTTTTAAACTAGCAGAGTTCTGAAGTTTCATTATGTTGTGTCTAGGTGTAATTTTGTTTGTTTGGTTATCTTTAATCTATTGGTTTCTGCATTTCATTGATAAGATTCTCAGCTATTATTCACTCAAATATGTGTGTCATTTTCTGTGTTTCCTCATTCTGAAGTCCCAGTTAGAAACATGATGCACATAATATATATCTTCCATATCTCTTACATTCCAAGCATTTTTTTGTAGCTCTAATTCATTCCTATGCCACAAAAATTGTCTCATCTGGATTTGACATCTTTTTTTTTTTTTGACATCTTATTTTTAAAGTCTGTTTTAGATTTAACTGGGTAGTTCTTTAGTTATCTTCAGTGTACTTATTTGATCATTTGCAGTAGTACTCCAGTCATAAGAAGTTGTCAGAAGTCTGATTTTGCTGTGTTCTTTCAAATGTCTTGCATGGTAATTTTTTCCTTGTGTGTTTTGTGATTTTCAATTGTGGGATTACAGGCATGGGTCCCCATGCCTGGCATAAAATTCTTTCTGATTTCCTTTTCTCACTGTAAAGAAGAGATAGAGTATTAGAAATGAAAAGGAGAAGCGAAGGAGAAAAAAAACCTCATCCCTGAACTGTTTCAGAATCCTGCTATTTTGATTCTTAAGATCAAATACCCACTTGGGTTAGTGAAAATCAGTTGGTCCACAAGGTGGCAGTAGCAAACCTGTAGAATCAGTCTCGCCCTCAGTTTTTTGTCCGAATTAGAAAGAGGCTAAGATTTTATCCAAGTATCAAATACAAGAATTTTTCTTATATAGACTGTACCACGTATTTCGGACAGATGTTTTTGGGTTTTTTTTCCAGACAGATGTTTGCAGTGCTGGGGATTGAACCTAGAGCTTCACACGTGCCAGGCAAGTGCTCTACCGCTGAGCTACATCCCCAGCCCAGGAAGTTTTATTTGACTTAAATTACGGAGATAATTTTCCATCTGAGGAAAAGAAAGATGACATTTAAGTTAACGTGTCAAGATGCTTTTGTTGTTTATTTAGTTTAAGATAAATTATTCTAGGGCTGGGGATTTAGCTCAGTGCTTCCGGCGCCTGCCTCGAAAGCGCAAGGTCCCGAGTTCGGTCCCCGGTGCCAAAAAAAAAAAATTATTCTAGTCAATGGAATCAAAATTGGCCTTTATCAAAGGCATAATCCAAAATTATTTCAGTGTATCATTCTTTGGTTTGCAGATAATGGCTGTAATTTTGAACATGAAGACCCAGTTTACCAGTTTAACCCAGAGGACTTGGTGCATTGTTTACTGTTCCTTGTAAGTTCAGCCTTGAATACTGACGTCATCATCAGTTGCCAGTCACAAGTGTTCACACTTGACCTTTCTAAAGAGGAGAGGTCAGAAATCTTGTCAGTGGGTGGGTTTAAACAAAGCCAGCCAAGCTAAAACTGCTGTGGGGCTTCTTGTTCCACAGGCCAGTCACTGACAGGCTCGTGACTGGCATGCTGAAATAGGACCAGAAGCAGGAGCCAGTTGCAAGGCTTTGTGGGGAATAAAAGGCCTCTTATTTCTTTACATTCAGATGATGTTAATTAGGGAGAGATGGACATTATTTCTACTCCCTGTATAAAAGAATTCAGACAAGGAAGTCACAACATTTATGAGAATCATTTTAAAAGAATCTGGAACTTTACATAGTTTTTCTTGGCATTCTGCCAGCTAAAGATAGAAACACACTACAGATTTCCTGGTGTCTTAGCAGGTATCTTAGGGTTTGTTCCACAGAATGTGAATTTCCTCTGCCACCTTCCTTGCCTCCCTTCCCAATTGTTTTTTTCCAATAATAGGTCTATTTGTATAAATTTTTTTTTGATACCAGGAATCGATTTCGGGACCTTGTCCTTGGGAGGTAGGCGGTGGCACCACTGAGCTAAATCCCCGGCCCCTATAAAATTTTAAAAGTATATACCTGCCCCTGAAATTAAGAATGACTTAATAATAATCCTTTCCTTTTATTGCAGAAGTCACTATTGTAACAGCATGGCTAAGGACATGCCGCTAATTATCAAGATGAATCATTTAGCAAAGTGGGAAAAGAGTCTAGTGTATAAAAATATCTAGTGACTGACATGTTACCAGATTTCTATGAAATAGGTTTCTGTGTGATTTCGACTTTGATTTCTTTTCCTCTCAGATCAAAAGAAGGTTCCTGATCAGGGTTGGTGTTGGGATTGATGTTCCTTATGCTGAGATCAATTGCTTGCTTTAAGATGCCACTCCCTACATCTCTTCCCACATCAGTTACTTCCTGCCCATTGGGTTCTTCCTGGTGTCACATTGCAAGGATTTTTGGCTCTTACTCTGTGTGAAATGGAGAGTCAGTAGAAGATTTTGAGGGAGGCTCCATGATTGGCCCAGGCCTTCTCTGGATCTCACTGGCTGTTCTCAATGAGACTGGGATTGAGGAGTACAAGGGTGATACAGGGAAGTGTTAGGAGGCCAATGGATGGGCCCTACTACAGTATTCGTCTCTGTGATGCCATGTGCCACCACTCTCTCCCTTGTCTGCTGGGCCCCAGCCCTACTGCTTTTTGCTGTTGTGGAGCCTCAAGGCATGCTTCCTGTTTCCGGCAAGTCCCAGGCCCCAGCCCCTCTGTGCATATTGTCGTGAGCCAGCACCTGGTAACTGCTGGCAAGCATCTAGGGCAGTGACAGTGAACCTTTTAGAGCTTTTAATGATAACAGACAGCTAACTATGGCAAACGTGCCGTAGGTTCCCCCACACTGATCTAGGGAGTGCCCTGACCCCTGCAATGCTGCCACTTCAGAACCAACACCCCATCTGCTGGCTACGGAGTCCTTCAGAGTGCTGGCCCAGCTCTGTTTAGTTTCTCTTGAGACAGTGTCTGTGGTGCCAAACAAAGGCCGAAAACCAGCGTTTGGAGCTTTGGTTACTGCTGTTGGAAGGGCAAGCTGTTATACCTATTTTTATTGTAATTACTCATTCTCTCCTACCTCATTAAGCTTGTGATCTTCAAGCATGAATACCTGGTTAAATCTGTGTTACCTCTTATTAGCAACGTACCTTTGTTCACACACAAATGATTGCCACTTACAGCTCTCCTTACAGGCTCTGCTGTAAATACTATAAGTTTTATTTTTTCAAAATAGATGTGATATTTGCTGTTTCAACAGTTTTCTTGTTTTGCTGGATTACAGGTTTCTTAGACTTGACTCTTTGGGGTCTGAGGGCTGGGGTTAGGAGGACAGGCTCAGTGGCAGAGCTCTTGCCTAGCATGCACAAGACCCTGAGTTCCATCCCCAGGATCACAAAAGAAAAGAGTTCTGTGTCCCCAAATTGGTGATACAGTGCTCCTGGTCCAGAAAGGGGCATACTGTGAGCCCCAGCAATTTGTGACCTGCTACCACTCAGGAGTGGCTCATACTCCAGCCTCAGTTTCTGTACCTCTTAGTGAGGCCATTGTCGTATAGTATAGAAAGATTGTTGATATTACCTGGAAGATGAAAGTTCTCTCCCAGAGCCAGTCCCCACTATCATCATTATGAAACCAGAGATGGAATGGAAAATAGATTTTGGAGACATTTAAAATCACTCTTTGCTTGTCTTTGCAGACAGAATCCAGATAAGAAAGCTTATCAATTAGGCTTTTGTTTCTACTCAAAAACTCATGATTGCTTACTCAAAGGCTTGCTTGTTCTGATCATAAAACACTGTTTACAGTAGTGCCTCAGATGAATGGCAACAAATCCTGGGGTTTGGTTCAGATGGTACATTTATTCCCTGGGGAAAGAAGTAACAGTTTCAGATGGGGCAGGGTGGGATGGAGAATGCTTTTCATTCTAAGATCTGATTTTGCAAGGATTCTGAACGAGCTTCCCTAGTTCTGTCTTTTTGCTGAAAATGATAACAGTTTGTTTCTGGGACCAAAAATAAAGAAGGAAAAGAAAAGAAAATTTGTGACCTGGGGAATCTGTTTTGAAATGCAAGTATAGAAGTTAGAAGCTCATTTAGACAGGTGTGGTTTTCTTTGTAAAGGGCAACACTATGATTCCTTGACTTTGTTGTCCTGATCTTTAATAAAAGTTCCTGGACAGTTGGTTAGCCTCAGCATGTCTGCACAGGGCAGGTGGCCTGGCCATGCCACTGGGGCCCCCTGCATGCCAGTGGGGTGCAGGGACTTCAGCTGGGAGGCCAGGTCTCATTTTCAAGACACTTGGGCTGCCCATTCTAAAACACTTAGAAATAAACATTCCTATTCTGGGGGTGTTGGGGGAGCACACAGAAGAGTCATTCACTACTCATTTCAATGGTAACTTCAAAGTGAAAGTCTACAAAATTCATGTATTTTCTAGAAAATTCCATTCCATCACTGCAAAAAGGATTTTACTTCCAAACTAATATACTTTTGAGCAAATGATTTGGAGTCATAAACATTGAAGAAGCAGTGGCGTGCAGTGGGAATTCTCAAGTTCAAGGAAGAAAACAGTGCCCTGCTTTGATCAGGAGTCTTTTTGGCTGTCCGTAGCAGAGTAGATGTTGGCATTTAAGTAGAAGTCAGCAGTTTCTTGGTCCCAACTAAAGAATGTTGTGCTGATTAAAAAGGAGAGTTATCCTTTGTATTCATTACTAACCCAAAAAGTGCAGAGAATTTTAATCCTTCAGGTTTTTATGGCTGGGAAAGCCAGCTGTATTAGGATCACCCTGTCGGTCATACCTGGTTTAGATGGCTACCTGTAGTGTGTTTGCATGTAAAGAGGGAGGGGGGCAGAGTGTGAAATACATCAAAGAATTATGTCAGATAATCCAAATTATTGCCATGGCCTAAAACTTAAGTTCATAGCTAGAATAAGAACTGAATAAGAAAATCATGGCAAACATCGAGTCTGTTTTGGAAATGTTCTAAAACCAGACTCTGAACACAGTGAGCCATTTAAAACATAGCTTGCTATGTGTTTGAAGAGAAACACATACTCTTTTATTAGGAACGTGAAACAAATTCTATGAGCTGCAGTATCACTGTGGGTGAGTTTAATTGCTGAGATTAATAAATCACAGCTGCGAAAGTTAAATTCTTGGCAGGATTCTTTATTCAGCTGTTTTTCCCTTGCTCCATTACATTCCAGATTTATGGTCCGCATTATGTCTGGAGCCAGCAGTAAGCTTGCTCTTTTCCTCTTCGGCTGTTTTTCGCTTGCCTTGGGAGTCTGTACCGAGGAGCACTGCGTAGCTGACCCTCACAAAGCTGACTGTTACGTGGCAGCTGTATACGAGCACCAGGCAGTCTTGAGTCCGAACCCTCTTGCTCTCACCAGCCGCAAGCAGGCCTTGGAACTAATGAACCAGAACCTGGACATCTATGAACAGCAAGTGATGACTGCAGCCCAGAAGGCAAGAAATGCTCCTCTCATGGAACAGAGCAAGTTGCTTTTTGACTCTTCGAGCACTGGTTAGGTAACGACTAACCTACAGCCTCTCAGGAAAATCAGTCCAGCTAGCAAGTCTGAATTGACTTAGTTGGCTGGAATCTTGCTACCCAGAGAGTGGTCCAGGGACCAGCAGCCACAGTGCTTAAGAGCTTGTTAGGAACACTGAGTCTGCATCTCAGCAAGAGCCCAGGGGATGCTTTTGCCCTGCAAGCTCTGGGCAAGGTCACCAGGGCTCAGGAAGCACTGGGTAGACTGTAAACAAGTAGGTAGGTGGGTCCCCAGGAGTCTGCTGTAATTGGTCCAGATGGGGTATCATGTGGGCACTGGGATTTTTGTTAAGGTTCTCCAGGGGATTCTAATATGTGGGAGTTTTAATGAACTCTCATGTTCTGTGAGGCATTCACAGCTTAACTGAAATGCTAAGCATCCACAGAAATGCTGTTTGCTGCTGGCTGATTGTTTGGGGCTCCATTTGTTTCTGTGCCAGATTAGGAACAGTCTGAGGTCTTAGCCCAGACAGAATGGACCCCAAACCAACAAAGGGCAGGTCAGTGCCAGCCTTTGTAAGGGCTTCCTGCTTGGCCACATTTTTCCTCCTGCCAGGAAGTGTGGGGGTGGAGGAGAGACACATGGCAGAGGTGGAAATGTCTTTGCCAGAAGTATGCAAATACCCTGCTGGGAAACCTAGAACCAAAGGGAAGCTTGGGCTTTAACCCAGGTGGTGGGGTGACCATATCCAGTTGCTTGAGGACCCCTCCACAGGAAATAAAGTATGTATATGTAGATACAATTCCCTAGAGCCTGGGCGTGGTAGCCAGGCACTGAAGCAGGAGGATCACCTCGAGTTCAAGGCCAGAGTTACATAGCAAGACCTTGTCTCAAAAAACAAAACAAACAAACCCCATCCTTGCTGTTGGTCTGTTTAAAGGCCAGATCTGGTCTTGACAGCTGATCCTGCCCCGATGGCCTGTCTCTGAGCAGGGTGGTCAGGATAGCATAGAAAGACAGAGCCAACATCTAGTGCTACATTTTAAGATTCTGGCTTAGAATACACATGAGAGAGTGTGTGTGTGCGTGTGTGTGTGTGTGTGTGTGTAACTGGTGCTGGAAGGGAGCTTCTCATGGATGCCCCTCCTCTTTTGGCCCAGACTTGACATCTGGCTCCACCTTTGCTTCCCAGAGTAGTCCAGAACTCACTGTTTCATAGGTCTACTCGTCCAGCAGTGGGAACTTCTGGAAAAGCCTTTTCTTTGATGAGCAGCAGTCGGCTTCCCTGCAGCTGCCACCCATAGTTCTGTTCCTGAGCTAAAGAGAACAGCTTGAGTCCCTCCGCACTGGGTTCCATCCTTCGCACACTTGACGGCTGCATGGCCCACGGCGTCTCTCCCAGGTGGTGCTGCTGTCCCTTCTTGGCTCCCTAGGAGAGCTTTCAGCACTTCTGCCCCAACTTCCAAGGTTTTCTGTGTGCAGCTCTCCCAGGACTGTCTCACGAGGGCAGGCTGCAGGAGACTCGCCTCTCATATCTGAACCTTGTCTCCTGGAAACTTTGACAGCGACATCTCATTGTGGGTTCATAATGCACTTGCTGTCACCTGAAACTCCTGTGCCCTTTTCGCACTGACACACTTGCTGCCATTGCACTCCTGTGCAAGAGGTTGATTGATGTAACCTGAGGGCAGCACTGCACATTTATGCTGTTACATGTCATCATTCAGCCTGTTGGGCTATTTGGGGATCTTTACTGATGTCCCGAATATCAGTTACCTTCACGTCATTCACACATTAGATACACACCTCTTTTAAGCCTCTGCTGAAGTCAGTGTAAAAATCCCAGCTGTGCCCTTCACCCTCCTGCTGATACTGATCCCATCAAGGGCAGGCATTCTCGGGGTGGAGGTGTTTGCTGGTACACCTGCAGCTTCGACTACCTCGTGCCTCTCCATCCTGACCACAAGACCGTCCTGAAACATTTGGCAAATGCCATGCTGAAACAAAGACTGTGAATATAGAATTCTCATTTTCAAGTTTGGATGACCTGCTCCTAACGGAAATGTAGAGTGTGGTTTTGTGGGGCCCATGCCAGCCACAAGGCATTCTTCCTTCTCTATTAGTAGACTGGGAGCAGGGATGCATTTGTTTGTTGATACAATAGTTTTTAGTGCTCTCAGATATCTCACCTCTCCTATGTAGTGTTAAAGCAAGTTTTTTGTTTGTTTGTTTGTTTTTGGTACCAGGGATTGAACTCAGGACCTTGTGCTTTCCAGGCAGGCAGTGGAACCACTGAGCTAAATCCCCGGCGCTTAAAGCAAGTTTTAAGATAAACGTATAGCAAGCATTTGTCAAAATTTTATATCAGTCTTGCTGTGAAGACAGGTTCTTGAACAAGCCAATTTAAATATTTCTTTTGGTAGAGACATTCAGAGGGAGGAGAAAGGAGACCAATTTAAGGATGATTAAGCTTGTCAGTTACTTAGGTTGGTGACCTTCATTCCTTGGAAGGAGTTCTAGATCTCATTAAGGTCCATCAGAAAATCGCTGAAGCTATTAGGAGTGCTAATTGCTTATCACATCAGACCCAAAGTTCTGCCCTGACTCAGGCTTGGTTCTTGGCCTTATTCCTGGCTGATGTGTGGTCAAGGAGTGCAGTTTAATTTTCATATTAACCTAACATGTATACATAATTTAAATGCTATTCTCTGTGAAAAACCATTCAGTGTTCTCACATGTTTTTGTTTTTGTTTTTTTTCTGGTACCGGGGGTTGAACTCAGGACCTTGCGCTTTTGAGGCAGGCGCTGGATCACATGTTTTTAATAAAGGAAAATATCTGCCCAACTGTAATTTTCAAAAATTAAATACATGATTCTTATATGATTACAGAATAAAGAAAAATTTTATTTAACCCATTAGTTAATGAGGGAGCCAGTAAGATGGTAAAACTGATTCAAAGGAAGACTGGAGAAGTGGAATGCATCTGTTAAGCCCAGTAAATGATGAAATAAATTTTCTAATAGATACAAAACTGGCTAATATTCTCCAGGGTTGTATAATTAAGTAACAAAGTCAAACATAGTACCTTGTCTAGATAATTAAAAATTATTTGGATTGGATCAGGGATTTAGCTCAGTGGTTTTGCTGCCTGCCATGCAAGCGAAAGGATCAGAGTTTGATCCCTGGTACCAAAAACAAACAAAAATTCTTTGGATTATTAATCAGCATCCCAGTATAATTTGGGAGGGCATACATTCTTCATCTTGTCTTGCTTCTGAATTTGTGATAATTTTTCTTTATGCTAAGGGTGTAGTAGAATGGCCTATGTCATTCTATGCTGGAGGAAGCCTATATGGTAAAACCTTTCTGGATAGCTATTTGACAGTGTATGTTAAGAAATTTAAATTTTTCATATTGTTGAACCCATAATTTCACTTGTAATACTTTATTCTGAAGAAATAATCAGAAATTCAAAGACTTGTGTACAACACTCGTTCAGTAAATATTTTGCACACATCATATGCAGATGGTCAGCACAGTCTTCTTTTTATTACAGAAAGTTGGAAATAATTCATATGTCCAATAATAGAGGAGAAGCTATAGGGTACTCTTAAATATAATGTGGCCATTAAAAATGCTATTTTTGAAAGTTCTTCAAGAAAAAATTCAAGGTGCAAAACCATATATTCATTATCTCAATTATGTACACATATATACAGAAAGAAAAATAGTGAGATATTAATAATTATCTTTGTATTGTAGATTATGAATTCTTTTATTTTTCTGTTTTCCAAATTTTCTACAGTTAAAGCTTTTGTAACCAGAAAAAAAAAAAAAAACCTCACAAGAATTTGCAGTGCACTCCAGAAGTAAATGCCTCAAACTGCATGCTCTTTTAGATTATTCACGCCTTCTCTGCCTGCCTTCTCCTCTTTCTGCACTGGAGCTTGACATTTTAATCCACATAAGTGGAGAGCAACGGAAGAATGAGGCCCTTACACTGAGAGCTTGTTTGTTGTGTTTCTTTAGGTTGCTGCAGCTGTCACAGGGGGCCCAGGGTGTCCCCAGGTGTGGGGAATTGAGATTCTAAGTGAGTCTTCATTTCTGTGCTGAAATGAACACACTTAACTCTTACCTACTGATCCCATTCCTGACTGGACATTAGAATCACCTAGGGAACTGTTAAACACTGTTGCCAGGACCTCACCCACAATCAGTTGGATTAGACTTTTTAGGGATGGGCTCAGCATCAGTGGGATTTCAGAAGTTCCCAACTTATTTAGATGCAGGATGGCTGAGAACCAATGGGCTGAAGATAGTCAAGACCCTTTAGAATCAGCTCCATCTTTCATTGCACCAGCAACTTGAAACCCCTTCTGTCTGGTGCCTACTCATTCCCCCTTTCCCTGCCATGCTCTCAGGCACAAGTAATGGTTCTTCTTAGAACAAGCAAGACAGCTTCCCCAAGACCAAGATGCTTGAGGAGAGTTGAGCCACAATCTTTGTATCTCTGGCTCCTGGTACAGAGTGATTTCTTTGTGGTTATCAAATGAATGAACTAGTGAATAGAATGGTTTTTATTATCTGATAACAAACTGTACTTTGATATTCACTTACAGGGTGTACAGATTATAGTGTTTCCAGAAGATGGCATTCATGGGTTCAACTTTACAAGAACATCCATTTACCCATTTTTGGACTTTATGCCATCTCCCCAGCTTGTCAGGTGGAACCCATGCCTGGAGCCCCACCGTTTCAATGACACAGAGGTATGTGACAATTCTGCCTTCCTCCTTAGTAGTCCAGAGGCATGCAGAGATGAACAAAGCCAGCAACAGAGGCTACAACATGCTGAATTTAAAAGGAGACACTAGGAGGGCCGGGGATTTAGCTCAGTGGTTTCGCCGCCTGCTGCACAAGCGCAAAAAGAAAAAAAAAAAAAAGAGAGACACTAGGATCTAAAAAATCAAATTCAGTGTGCCATACATCCATACAGTTAATGTCTAGTACAGTATTACAAGCCATTTACTCATCTGTGGATTTTTCCATTTATTAATTACACAAAAATACATGAATATAAACTTATTAAGTCAAACAAGTTTTTTTTTTTGGTACCGGGATCAAACTCAGGTTCTTACACTTGCGCAGCAGGTGGCAAAACCACTGAGCTAAATCCCCAGCCCAAGTCAAACAAGTTTTTAAAAAAGTAAGTTTACTTTCACCACAGACCATCTCTCACCCCACTTCCTTTCCTAAAGAGACTTCCAACTTCCGTCAACAATTTGTTATGCATCCATCTTTCTCTGTGCTTTTCCTATCACACCGTTCTTCAGCATGCTATATGTTTACTCTCTTTTAAACTCTTGTTATTATGAGCAGTGTTTCAACAAATATCCTTGGACATATGTTTTTGTAAATGTCCAGGTTTTTTTTTTTGGTACCGGGGATTGAACTCGGGTCCTTGCGCTTGCACAGCAGGTGGCAAAACCACTGAGCTAAATCCCCAGCTCAATGTCCAGGTTTTTGTGTGAGGTAAGATTTCTAGAAATGGAATTTGTTAAAGGCTATGCACATTTTAAATTATTTTAAATGTACCAAACTTCTCTCTTGAAAGATTCTTACGTCACTTTATATCCCCAATAATAATGCATGAGTGCCTGTTCTCCTACTCTCTGATCCATGCTGGATAGAACAAACTTTAACATTTTTGCCAATCTAACAAAGGTGAAGAATGATACCTAATTATTACTTTAATTTGGATTTCTCTGTTACTAATGAGGTTGAGCATCTTTTCAGATGTTTCTCGCCCATTTGTATTTGTTCTTCCATGAATCCCCGCTTATATCCTTTGCATTGTTTTTGCTTATTGGCTTATGTTAGCCATTTATATATATTATGGACACAATACAGGAAATTTTCTATTAAAAAATGAGACTAAAGGCAGAATTTAAAAAATCTACATATTTATATCTTTGTTTTTATAGGTCCTCCAGCGCCTGAGTTGTATGGCCCTCAAGGGGAAGATGTTCTTGGTGGCCAATCTTGGGATAAAGCAGCCTTGTCTTAGCAGTGACCCAGGATGCCCAAGTGATGGGCGATACCAGTTTAACACAAACGTTGTGTTCAGCAGTAACGGAACCCTTGTTGACCGCTACCGTAAACACAACCTCTACTTTGAGGCAGCTTTTGATACTCCTCTTAAAGTGGATTACATCACCTTTGATACGCCCTTTGCCGGCAAGTTTGGCATTTTCACCTGCTTTGACATACTGTTCTTTGATCCTGCTGTCAGACTCCTCCGAGCCTCTGCGGTGAAGCATGTCGTGTATCCCACCGCCTGGATGAACCAGCTCCCCCTCTTGGCAGCCATTGAGATTCAGAAAGCTTTTGCCATTGCCTTTGGTGTCAACGTGCTGGCAGCTAATATCCACCACCCATCACTGGGGATGACAGGGAGTGGCATCCATACCCCTCTGAAGTCTTTTTGGTACCATGACATGGAAGATCCCAAAGGTCACCTTATAATCGCCCAGGTAGACAAAAGCCCACAGGGTCTTGTTGGTACAGAGAATGCAGCAGGTAAAATGGATCCAACCCATAGTAAGTTTTTAAAAATTTTGTCAAGCAGTCCACATTGTGAGAAAGATGCTCAGGAAGTCCATTGTGATGAAGATGCCGAATGGAACATGAACACTCCTCCCATGTTTCATTCTGAGATGATGTATGACAATTTCACCCTGGTCCCTGCCTGGGGAAAGAAAGGCTATCTTCAAGTCTGTTCAAACAGCCTCTGCTGCCATTTGCTCTATAAGAGGCCCACTCTGTCCAAAGAGCTGTATGCCCTGGGGGTCTTTGATGGCCTTCACACTGTGCATGGCACTTACTATATTCAAGTTTGCGCCCTGGTCAAGTGTGGGGGTCTTGGCTTCCACACCTGTGGGCAAGAGATCACAGAGGCCTCGGGGATATTTGAATTTCACCTGTGGGGCAACTTCAGTACTTCCTATATCTTTCCCTTGTTTCTGACCTCAGGAATGACCCTGGAAATCCCCGACCAGCTTGGCTGGGAAAATGACCACTATTTCATGAGGAAGAGTGGACTGTCCTCTGGTCTGGTGACAGCGGCTCTCTACGGGAGGTTGTATGAGAGGAACTAGGAAAAGTGTGTGGTCTTTGGGTGGGCAGCCCTGCACCTCCAGAGCCCACAGATTGCGAGCATGGAGACACTTCTGCCAGGGTGTGGAAGCCCACTTTTGTGGCACCAGATCCCACCCTGGGAACTGTGGGAAGAAGTGGGAGACGCAGGTCCCTCTAGCCTCAAACTTTCGGCAGTCCTGTCTCAGCCTCCCCAGTGCTGGGGTTACAGGCTTGCACCACCGTGCCCAGCCCACCCCTTGCTTCTAAACATGAATGACTGAGACACTTTCTGGTGTTTCCTATTCACATTGGTCTTCTAAGCCACATCTTCCTCTAGCAAATCTGTACGTACACCATGGATTTTAAGAGCTGAAACAAAAATAAAAGTTAGTTGATGTTTTTACACATCCACAAAGCAGTGGTCTGGATTTTTCCTTGCTATTGATCAAGTGACACCCAGGATGTGTAAATATTTCACAAGCCTCAAACATTTTCTAAGGTAAGAAATGAGCTCTTAAAGCCAAAGTTGTCTAGGAAAGGGCTGCTATGAGGACTTTTCCCATTCTGCTCAGCTGGAACTCTGTCCAGGTGAAATGGCAGTGCCAGAGCCACCAGCAACATCAGAATCGTAAGCCTGGCAAGTTTTTAAAAATAGAAGAAAGTTTGTCTCTCACCTGCCTTTCTGTCAGTAGACGGACTATGTAGGCAGGATTTGAAATAACTGGAGAGAGCGAGTGCAGTGCTCTGGGGTGGGGAGCGGGCAGGGATGGAAAATGCTGGAGAGGGGCAGCTAGGAAGGAGTGAGTAATAGAATTCTTTGTATACCACGAGTCTGGTCCAGGGATTCCAGGGGCCTTAATAAACTGTGTTAGCTTTGGCCAAGTTGCTCAGCTGCAGAGGATAAAGTGATGGTGGTACAATTCAATTTGCAGCCCACAGAGGTCCCCCCTGGTGAGGCACGGCACCCCAGAAGGACAAGCTGCAGGAACTGGCGCAGAGGCGCGCCCACGCGGGCCCAGCACTCACTCAGCAGGGTTTGAGAGTGGCCACAAGTGTACAGAGCAGGGTTCTCACAGTATTAGCCCTGGATGAAGAATTATAAGTCAGTATGGCAAAGACATTTTTAGGCCACGGATAGTTTGTATCCAGCATTTCAAAACCATTAAAAAATTTTAAATTCTGTTCCTAGTAACTATGTCAGATAATTTTTAAGTATAGAATGAATAGTCTTCTGTGGTTTGCCTCTTAAATGTTGTAGCTGTATAGTTCAAACTTTTTAAATCAGCTTTTTAACCACTTACCAGTCCAATAATTTAAAGACAGGATGACCAAAAATTGCATATTTCATTGATTTTTATAAAATAACAAGAAAGATAAAAACAGCAACTTTATCAAATTTATTTAATAATTTTTCTGTGTATGGTATATCTTAAAACATGCAACACCTGCCTGAGCAATGCTCAGGATAGTCAGTATGTAAACAAATGCACTGCCTGAGTGACACTTGAGGTAAACTGTTAAGTGATTAATAACAGTATACACTAAAAATTTTTACAGAATTGTGTAAAGTGAAAAATGAACTTCTCTCCCCATTCCCTGGCAGCGTAGCCTTCCAGACCCTTTCCTGGCTCTTTGGAGGATAATTAAGAGTGTGACCTCTGGAGTCAGACTGACAGGGATGGCATGCATGACCTCTCTGGGTAGCCCTGGTATGTATTTAAACCTTTCTGTTCCTTGTTTTCTCATTTGTGGAATGCATATGAAATATGCCAAGTGGGCAAGGAGCAAATCTTGTACCAGCCCCTGCTGACTCACTGCTCCCTTGAAAAGGCCTGGAATGAGTCAAGTCTTCAGGAAATAAGTGGGTCGACTCAGAATTCCTGAGGTGGCCTTGGGATCCCCACACCCTGGGACGTGCCCCTGGAATGGGAGCAGGACCTCTCCCACCAGATGACAGGCCCTGCCTGCCCTCCCAGGGCAGACCCTCCTAGGAGGAGTAGGTTGGCAGGCCGGATGTGGCTCCAGATGTGGCTGTCTGCAGCCCATTCTGCTTTCCTGCTTCATTCCCTGGGGAGACAAAAAGGATCTTTAAAATGCGTACTGTTGCTGTGTGCCAAGATGATTCAGATCAGCCTGAGAACCAGTCAGAAAGGCCGGTCTTAAATACAAACTTAGTAGAACTACTTCACCCAGTAAGCAACTAATAAGCATCTGCTAGAACCACGTTCAACCCTTCTAAGCAAAACACACAAATTTTCCCTGAGTTACCTCCTAATAATTAAGAATGAATTGTTCATGAAGTAGAAATAAGAGGAAAAGCAAATAATAATGGTAGAACAAAGTGATTTTTATAATTAAAAGAAGTAGCTGCCAGACAGAATAAAGCAGAGGACGGGGGAAATGAATAAAATAAATCATTTTCAGGAAAACACACTGATGACTAATGGTTGTGATATGCTTTTATCAACTGTGATCCTGACATTCAGGAAGTAAATGGCAATTTTGACTGCAACACAGAGGCAGGAAATCAAGTATGTTTTTGTTCAAATCAGTCTCGGGGGAAGTAGTTTTGTCTGTGTGGTTTCTTGTATCCATGCAGCTGTGCCTGGCTGTAGCTTTTCTCACAAAGGAAGTGAGAGGCACAATGAGCTGGGTTCACACTGGACTTAAGGGATCTGTTTCTGCAGAAGGTAAGAAGTGTACCCTCTTCACAGACTGCCCCATCCCAGTCCTACCACCCTCTCCAAAGAGTCAGGCCTGTCCCCAGCTTCTGCTGAGGGAAACCCACTGGCCACCCCTTACCCACAGGTATCCATACACCTTGGGCAGAGCACACTGGCAGTACCACACACTCAATCTACAACCAGCCAATCGGAGGACTGGTTGGCAGTCTGTGAGGTAGCCTGGAACAGAAGTTCTGCCTAGAGAGGGATGATTCCTAGTGAAACTGAGCACTGCTCAAATTACTGCGGAATGAACAAATGATTTCTCAACAAAGTACATTTATATATGGCAAAATAGAAAAGTTACAATTGTCTAAATTGATGTATGAGGTGTGATTGAAAACTAGGATGAATGTTTACATTAAAAGGAATAATTACAGCAAAAGACACATTGCCCTTAGTCCCCTCCAGAATATTCCTCTTGCTTTGAACAAACATCCCATCATTCTTGACACATTCTAAAGCAGCTCTGGAAGTCTGTGTTCTGAGTGTCTTTAGTTGTAGAGCTGTGGCTGCCTTGATGTCCTGCACCAACTCAAAATGTTTACCTTTCATGGCTACTTTGACTTTGAAAAAGAGCCAGAAGTCCCACGACGCCAGACCCAGTGCATGAGGTGGGTGAGGAACTGTAGTGTTTTACAAGCTGCCTTTCCATTGGATGGCATGCAGCAGTGGCATTCACCATTCCACCTGACAAAGACACAGAGGAAGACTTCCAGAGCTGCTTCAGAAAATGGCAAGAACAATGGGATAGTTATGTTTAAAGATGGGGTCCATGGCATTGTATCATTTACTATAATGCTTTTTTAAACATTTCAACATACCATATTTTTCGATCACCCCTCACATTGTACAAAAAGGCCTAGATTTGGACAAACATTGCTGTGTGTGGAGATGCACAGGGAGGACTGCTTGGGGAAACTGCCACTTCTCAGCCAGAGGAAGGCCTGCACACAGCTTGACACTTCTTTCATTGCCAGGCTCCCTTCCTGTGTTAGCTTCCATCCCCACATGACAGATTACCCCAAAGCAAGACGTGGTCCGCAGTTTGTCACATGAATGCGTAGTCTCTTGCCCTAGCATCCTGATGTGTCATCTGAAGATACCACTACCAGCTTTTGCATTCACTTCCCGGACAGTGTGGATGGTCAGAAGCTTATATTGTGGAATTCATAGTATGGATTGAGAAGAACTCTAGGAATCTAAAGTGATTCCTGAGCAATCAAAGAATGATAAAATTATATACAGTGTGACTTCAAGATAAGGTATGGGAGGGGTTCTAATTCTTTAAAAATTACTGATCCAGTCAGATGGATACCTTTGCAACTCTCCAAAAATCAGTTGTGAAAATTAAGCATTAGTTCTTTGTAAAATACTGTCCTTCAAGTTGTGGAGTGTGCAAAGTCACATAAGAAAAGATCATTACCTTAATTGAGAACTTATTACTTAACGTTCCTATAAATATGGGGTTTAAGCGCGCGCACCCACACACAGCAAACTCGTGAAGGGTGTGGCGGCAGATTGTACTTCCCCCAAATGGCTGAATCAGCGTCTCCAGCCCCACTTACTGGAACTTTGCCAGTCCTGATGAGGCGCTGGTATGCTCCTTCCCTTGCCCCTGGGCTGGATTTTGTGATGATTCAAAACCAGATGCTGCAGAAGTGATGCCGTGTGACTCCCACAGCAGGGTCATGCACAGGGACACCGCGTTGTCTCTCTCGGGAATTTCGCACTTGGAACGCCAACAGCACTGAGGAGATGCAGCTACCTGGGGAGGCTCACATGGTGAGAGTCACGGGCTCAACCTCACCTGGTCAGGTGATGACAGGGCCAGCTCCTCAGGCCCCCAACCTGCCTTCTGGAAACAGATCCTGCCACCTCGGTGGACTCCCCATCTAAAGTGGGGGGCAGACAAGCCTTCCCTACTTGCACTGCCCAAAGTGCAGATTTGTCAGCGGACTAAGTCATTGTTATTTTAAGCCACTGTGTTTTAGGATGGTTTGTTATGCAGCAATCAATATTCAGAATTGGTAACAATCAAACATACATTTTCAGCATGTTTAAAGTACTAAAAGATTTTAAAATATAGAAGGCCAGTGAGGGGGCCTCAAGTAAGGTGAAGGAAGCAACAGCCAGCTGGTTGTGCAGGCCCTGCAGTCTGTGGAGCAGTTTAGATCTGTCTGGGCAGCAGTTGGAGTAAGCGGAGGAATAACGTGGTCATTTAAAATGATTCCTGAGATAAGCATGGTGGCACATGCCTGTAATTCCAGCATTTGGGAGGGTGAGGCAGGAGGATGACCATGAGTCTGAGGCTAGCCTGGGTGGCATAGTTGAAGGCCAGCCTGGAATATGTAGCGAGACCCTGTCTCAAACAAACAAACAAACAAACAAACAAACTCTTCTGGATGCTCTGTCAGAAGCTCTGTCTCGTTTAAAGTCGTACCTCATGACCAGCCAAGAGAATTCACTAGAGGGGAGTGCAAGAAATAGCAATTTAAGTGGAAAATAACTATTGTTATTGTTATTGTTAAAATGTATAATGAGTAGCAATTTAAGGTTTAAAAAGACAGTTCTTTGCAATTACGCATTTACTATTTTCTAATATTGTCCTGTTTTAGTTTTTAAAAGACTGTTAGATACATCAAAACCAAGAGGAGAAAACCCCCAACATTTATAGATAACAGAGAGACAA